CAAAATGTCTGGCAGAAGTTTGCACTCTTTAAAAGAGGCTGCAGGCAGATCACATTTGCCAATGTGCAAGGTTACTAAAGCTGGAAGAATCCATAAATTCAGCATAGATGCTTGAGGGGTTACAGTCCTTTCTTACCCACGCACCCCATGAGAATTCAAGGTGTAGTTAAAAAGCAAGAAATACCACACACAAAAAGGCTGTTCCCTGATAACCATGATAATATTTCATGGGAATGCCTCAAAAAGGAAGCTGTATGTTTTGCCCTGGAGCTGAGAGTCTTAGCTCAGTAAATAGCAACCTGTTCCTTAGGATCACCATTAATGGGCTCCAGAGGGTTGGGGGAAGGGTTTTGTCCAATCTGTCCCCCAGACAGAAGGGCTAATGGAATTAAAGTCAGCTTCCACAGTATAGCCAAAGGTCAGCTTAAAGTACGCAATTCCAGCTACATGAAAACATAGCTGGAGTCAATGTAAAAGCTTTGGTGCTGTCCTCACAGTGGGAAGTCAATGAAAGAAACATTCCTGTTGACTTCCCTTGCTCCTCCTTGCAAGGAGTAGGAGTTCCAGTGTAAACAGGGTCACCCTTAGCATTTGATTTAGCAAGTCTTTACTAGACCTGCTAAATCAAACTTGAGAGATACAGCGTTGATCTTCTGGGCAGGGAAGATGTGGCTTTAGAAAGGATAATTTGTGAAGAGAATGGACAACATACAAAATAGAATGGGGTGAAACTAGAGAGACTCTCCATAGCTTCGGAAACAGAAAGACCTCATCTCTCGTTCCTTTCAATCTCATAATGTTAGTCAGAGCTATTGTTAAGCAAAACGGAAGCATACTGGGTGAAGTTTCATTTTCAAAAAATGTGGCAAAGCTAGATATAAACATCACATGCTGATAAGCAGAAAGCAAGAGAGCATTTCCCTGTCACTCACTCTTGAAATAGGTTTGAAGAGCCATTCTATTTTCAAATATATTTTTGCAGATACTTTTTGCTTTTTCTAATGTGAATTTTGAGCTTGACCAAAGTCCACTGAAGTTAATGGAAATACAACCTACAGACAAAAATCAAATGAGTTCTACACTGTGTGGGTTTGGGATTTTTCAAAAGTTTGATGCGTTAGGCACCCAAATTGTATTAAAATTCAATGAGATTTAGGAGCTTCACCTTCAGCCCTTTAAAAAATCCCCAGTTGAATACTTCATGATTTCACACAAGAGGAGAGATAAAACCATGTTTATATCTTGGCTAATCTTGACAGCTAGCAAAACTGTACACAATAAGTAACTTTCCTATTCAAAAGTTGTACTCTCATCCTAGTTACAGTTTTTTAACAGCTTAAAATTACTCCATGTATGTTCCTTGTGGACCATGCAAAACACTATCCATTCCTGCAATGTGGCCTAACAAACATGCTGTTAAATGCTGTTGGACAGAAATTACATTTATTTGTGCATCTATCATCACACCACCAATTTGCAAGAAGGAAAATAGCGATGCTAATGAACTCATTACCACCAGTGGAGTTTATAAAAAAAAGCAATGATCAGCCATTTGGACAATTGCAAAGGGAGCTTGCTTATGTGACATGTCTACAGCAGTCTGGGAGAAGTAACTTTCCTGGCATGCGATTTTGTCAGTTTCACAACCATAGCAGCATAATAAAAGGAAAGGACGAAAGGTTGGACCCTGTTAACTCAAGTGTATATGCATTGTTTTTAAGAGAACCCCTTCTTCCCATTCCCAAAAAGAGGGACTCCTATTTTTGGCAGCCAGTAGTTTATGCTGTGGTGTGACTTAACACATGGACACTAGTGTTCTCTCTCCTACTGTTCACATCAAACACTAGCATTAAAGTAATAGGGATGTAGCCGTGTTAGTCTGGTGTAACAAACAAAAGACAGGACTATGCAGCACTTTAAAGACTCACAAGAGAGTTTATTAGGTGATGAGCTTCTGTGAGGAAGTGGGTCTGGTCCACGAAAGCTCATCACCTAATAAACCATCTTGTTAGTCTTTAAAGTGCTGCGTAGTTCTGTCTTTTGTTTCAGCATTAAAGTGTAATTAAGAGACAAGTCTTTTTGAGTTTCACATGACAGGTGCTGTCTGCATGGAGCACAGAGTAGGAATGTAATAGTGTAGTCAATTAACTGATAAGCAAAAGCATTTATGTTAATGCTATCAACTACACTCATTTCTCCCTCCCCCACTCTGCCAGTAAATTTTTTAACAGGGTAACCAGCAACCCAAATCAGTCCTAGCGCACATCAGGTCCGGGACCTATCCTTGCTGTGGCTCTGCATATAAGATGTATTAGGAGCCAGGTGGGCAGGCAGCCCAGCTCAGTTCAAACTCTTGTGGGATCTGGGAGTTCAACCTGTCCCCTCCCCCTGGACAGGGGCTGCTGCCACCCCATGCTGTGGCAGAGGGGGGGGTGACAGGCAGACGGTCCACTAGGGGACTGGTTTTTAAACTGGCTCCCCTCATGGATCAGGTCCCTGCCTGGCACCCCACGCTGCTGCCTCTGATACAGGAGAGGGGATGGAGCGCTAGCTGCTGACCTTGTCCACGGGGACTACAGAATAGTCGACTAACTATAAAAATGTATGAGGTTAATGAAATATTCAATTAACTGACATTTAATGTCCCTAGCACAGAGACATGTTTGCTACTGCACTATCACCACCCCAAGGCCACATCAGATTTCAGCTGGCTGAAGAAGAAAAAAAAAAAATCAAGAACCTCGCCATGTTCTTCACTCACCAAGTTCTACTATGATAGCTAACAGCTACACAAAGCCACTTCTCAAGAAAAAGGCGGACTTGTGCTCCTCAAGTTAACAGTTTTTTTGAGTGGATTCCCTGAGTGAGAAGCAGTGATGGTGAAACAACGTCATGGGCTCAGAATCTTATTTGCAAGTGCTATACAGTCCTACTGGCCCAGACTAGATCTCACACCGCCATGACTGTCACCAGGCCTGCCAATGGGGTGTCAATGGAGCGGGGGGGAGGGAAGAGGGAGGGTAGAAGTTTAAGGGAGCAATCGCCCTGAGGCCTGGTGATTCAAAAGTGCCCCGGGCTTCCAGTTGCTACCACTGCTACTGCAGTTGAGGCCAGAGGCCTGGGTCATGCATGGCTCTAAAGGTTAGAGGGCAATTGCTATGCTCCAGGTGGCCCTGAGGGCTGGCTGCCCTGACCCCATCCCTTCTGGGAGCATGGAGTAAGCCTTCTGCATCTTGCCAGGGACCCACAGAGGATGTCAGCACCCCTGGAGGTCACTAGCATTCCCTTCTAGAATTCAACCAAGCAATGGAGCCAACAGACTCACTGGGCTTCTGGGCAAAGCAGGAGTAGGAAGCAGCTCTGCACCCCTGGAAGGGGTGGGGTCCCAGGCAGAAGGGGCAGAATAGGGGCTAGCCTTTCCCCTCCCCGTTCCCAGCAGCCCTCAGCATTGCCCAAAGCATGCCATGTGGGACTCCAACAGCGATTTAAAAATGCCTCCACTCAGGCCACCGCCACAGTAGCGACAGCTAGGAGTCTAGGGCCTTTATGAATCATCAGACCCAGGGATAATTGTTCCCTTTGCTTGACCTTGTCAGTGAGCCTGCAACCAAGAGCGAAGGGGCAGAGGGGGGAAAGGAGCCAACGAAGCTAGTAAACTAATTTAATCATTACTAGATTCCCTATATTTAAACTCTGCAGCTTTCAATAGTTTGGAAAACACTCACTTGAACCCCAAGGTTCCACAAAGTGAACATAAGGATTCTGCAAGAAAATTCCATTACAATAACATTTTATGATTAAAAAAAAATTAATTAATATTACGTGATTTTTTAAAAAATATGTGTAATTAAACTAAATGTTGGATCTCATGACCTTGTTTAGTATTTGTTTATTATTATCCTTACTTATTTGTGGTCTACTTTTTCAGCTCCATATCTTACACTGTTATTAGGGGTTCCACAAAATTCTTTCAAGTTTAAAAGGGTTCTGGGACCAAATAAAATTGGGAAACACTGGCTTAGGGTATTAAATTCTTACATCTCTTCCAATCATGAAGCTACTAACATTACTAATTTCTTGTAATACAAAAAACCCCGCCTACGGATCTAATGTCAACATCTGAGTAAGTCACTCAAACTTATCTGAGGAAGTGGATTTTGCCCACGAAAGCTTTTATATACAGGCAGTCCCCGGGTTACATGGATCCGACTTACATCGGATCCCTACTTACAAACGGGGTGAGGCAACCCCACACTAGCTGCTTCCCCCCAGCAGACCAGGGAGACACGAAGCTAGCGCCCCCCCCACAGCAGACCAGGAAGACGCGGAGCAGCTTTTCTCAGCAGACACCTCAGCTTGAGAATAAAGGACTGAGGGAAGTGAGGTGTGGGAGAATAAAACTGATCTCTGGAGAAATGTTTGGCTAGAGTTTCCCCTACAATATGTACCAGTTCCGACTTACATACAAATTCAACTTAAGAACAAACCTACAGTCCCTATCTTGTACGTAACCCGAGGACTGCCTGTATAACAGTTGCCACAGGACTAAATGGGGTGTTATTTCAAGTACTAATCACTAACTTAATAAATATCAATGCAGAATTGCCAATGCAAGTGCAAATCAACAAATAAGACTGCTCTCATATTCCCTCTTTCCTGGTATTCTTCCAGCATTCGTTGTGTTCTCTTTATGCCTATTTATACATGTTCAAGCAAGAAGTAGATTAAGGCCCACATTTTTAAAAGATATTTAAGTGTTGCTGCATGCAGCACTTCAATGCCTAACTGATCGTTTTACAACGGGACTTAGGAACTTGGAGCTCAGATCCTGTTGACTCCCAAAACCTCTGAAAAAGACTTAAGCATTGCTCAAATCAGAGTTGAAACACCTAATATCTTTTAGAAATTTCTATTCCAAATTTCAACTTTTAACTATTTCACATCAAGGACTTCAAAACAAAACAAAGAAAGTTTACAAAAATATTTTATAAAGGATTTACCCCCCTTCTCCATCAGTTTTCATGTTCAAGGACAGCTGTACTGATTCTTCCTCCATCAATCTTCATGACTGTGCTGCTCATTCTTATGGAGGTAAACATAAAAAAAAATAGATTGAGCCAGTCTTCCTGACTAGAATCTATACCATTCAGTAACAGTTATTAATAGGAATACATACCAAGCTTCCTCACCGGCCAGGGAAGCCAAGGGACATACGTATATTCCTTAGAAATTGAAAGGATAACCAGTCAGAGTCCCCTGAACCAATTGCTAATTAGTTTTGAAAACAAGACACTGGAATAGATCATTTATTCATCTAGCCTTGAATCCTGTCCTCTAGAGTTTTATTACTTCATGAAGCTTAAGGATAGCAGAAATCTTTAATACTGGGACTATCCATAAGGAATCAATACACAAAGATTATTAAACAACATTGTGTTTGGTAGTTTTGGTAACAAAGTTAAACAGAATTATAGTCAGATTAGACATCTTTAAAAGGCAGCATAAATTCTGTTCCATAGATAAATTGTGCAAGGGAGGACCAGGTTGTTTCTTGCCCTTTTCATGAGATACAACACACAAATACGCTATATCTCGCACACCACACACAACCAATGGCTAAACACTACCCTTTTCAGTATCCAATTCTAGGCCTCCTTTAAGAGATGGAGGTCTTGCACTATAGTCCAGAATAGTCGGAACACAGAACATTCCCTCCATCATCTGTTCCTAGCCCCATTATATCCCTAGGCCTGAGCTATGCAAAAGGGCAACACAGGGTTGCTCTGCCAGCAGAATAGATGTTTTATATAAGGGATATTCATGGGGGTAATGTTCTGTTCTTTTAGGGTAGGTCTACATTTGCTCCCTAGTTCAAGCTAGGGATGCAAATGTAGCTGACTGAAATTGTTAATGAAGTGAGGATTTAAATATCCTGCTCTTCATTAGCATACTCTCGCCCGCGTGTTATTCCGCTCGCCAGCTGATTCGAACCAAGAAGTGCGCTCCGGGACGCGTTAGTTCGAATCAAACCCCTTGGTTCAAACTAATGTTACTCCTCATTTTTTGATCGTTAAAAAAAAAAAAAAAATGAGGAGTAATGTTAGTTCGAACCAAGGGGTTTGATTTGAACTAATGCATCCCGGAGTGCACTTCCTGGTTCGAATCAGCTGGCGAGCGGAATGATGTGCAGGCAAGATTATGCTAATGAAGCGTGGGATATTTAAATCACGGCTTCATTAGCAATTTCGGTCAGCTACATTTGCATCCCTAGTTCGAACTAGGGAGCAAGTGTAGACGTACCCTTGATGAGCAGTGGACAGTGGACTGTTGAGAGAGGACAGAATTAAGTCCTGTGTATTACTATAACTCACTGAAATACAGAAATGAGAACTATTCTATTAATAAAATGAGCAGTATACTGAAAACTAATAGTTACCTCTTTAATAAGAGCTTATTTCAAAGAAAGGCTTTAAAATTACCTTGTAATCTTTATGTGTTAGGGACCATGTGTTTTTATATGTTTGTTTACTACATATAGCAGTGAGGCCATGAACCTGATAAAGCATTTTGATAATATATCTTTATTGGGTGAACAAATAAACAAACACTCCAATGGAATATTAGGAAATCTATATTTGCCACACTTCAGAGTGCTGCAAGAGAAACATCCATTCTTGCCTCTGTATTGGAAACTTGCATATTAGTCTTCTAGGTAACAAAGCAGCCACAGTTTGCAAAACTGGATTCTTTTAAGAGGGTCAATGACATTGTCCAGTAGGGAATGTCCGTCAGATTCTAAAGAACCACATATGTCTTCCTGTTATATTTTAAGTTCATAATGTAGGCTAAGGTAACTTTGTAGACTATTAATAGAAGTTCAAGTTGTTTTTATTTCAACAACTGTTTGGGTTTAACAAATTCCCCCACAGTATGTGCAATCCAAATGCCCCCACATTATAGTAGTGCATGATCATCTGACAGTGAAACGATTTAAGATCTGATATTCAACAAACCTATTTTCATTGTCCAAGCAGAATGCAATGTTAGACATAAACAAGCCATGTTAAGTGAAGGAAGAGTCAGATTGAAGTTCTTTCAGTTTTAATACGCTAAAAATAACAACACTAGCATTAGATTACAGGTTATAATATTTACATACTTTTAACCGAATTATGTCTTTAATGAAGAGCTTACTTCATTGGGGAAAAACAACAAAATGCAATGCTGACAGTTACTATGTAACAGTAACATTCTCCAGCATCCACAATAAAAAGCTGCGCTATGGTGACCTGTTACATTGGAAACATAGCAGATGGTACCATATTTGACAACAATGAAGAAGTTAACAGTGGAAAATTTTAATGATTTTTAAAAGGAAATTAGAAACAACGCAGAGAAACTAAACAGTTCTTTTAAACAAATTGAACTACGTAGCTGATGTAGATATAAACTGCCCATGAAAGCTTATGCTCCAACACTTCGGTTAGTCTATAAGGTGCCACAGGACTCCTCGCCGCTTTTGCAGATTCAGACTAACACGGCTACCCCTCGGATACAAAAAATAGTAGTGTTCCTTTCCATTGTTCTATCATAACAGCAGCAGAATGTGGCAGAACAAAAGACAACTTTAAAATTCAATCTCTAAAGACCTTTCTAAAACTCAGAAATTTTACTTAAAAAATCCCATAGATACGACCATTGAAATGCTGGTATTAAAAGATATGCTGCTTCTAATACCATTCAAAGCAGATCTACTTGACATTGTATTTTAAGAAAAAGCAAACTGTCTATAACAAAACTCCTAATACTGCCCACACAAATGGAGGGCAATGTAAGCAATGATGGGCAACTTTTGCAAAATGTCTTGTGTGAACTAGGCCAGAACCTCCTAGGCTACAGTAAAAGACAAGCTTTTATTTTTTTTTAAAGACTTTTAAAAATCAATAGAGCTTTCAAGTCATTTTCATACTTGGGATGTAATAGTATAGTCGATTAACCGATAAGCAAATGCTTATAGGTTAATGGGATAGACTATACACATTTCTCCCTCCACAACTTGCCAGTACAAGTAATTTCTTTAGCAGGTTGGCCAGGAGTCTGTCTCAATCCTGGCATGAACCAGAACTCGGACCTACCCCTGTTGTGGCTCTGCACTTAAAGTGTATTAGGATCCAGGCAGGCAGGCAGGCAGCCCGGCTCAGTTCTGGCTTGTCCAAGATCAGGAAGTTCAGACTTACCATAGACAGAGGCTGCTGCCATCCCATGCTGCTGCCTCTTTATCACAGGCAGCAGCACAGAGCGACAGGCAACCGGTCCATGAGGGGAGCTGGTTTTTAAACTGGCTCCCCTGGAGAACCAGCTTCTATCTGGCACCCTGCACTGCTGTCTCTGATACAGAGAGTTCTTCAGGAATGAGGCTGATGTGCACTGGCTGTCGGCCTCACCCCCAGGGACTATCGAATAGACCGATAAGAATTCTTGAGGTTACTCGACTATTCAATTAACTGATATTTAATCTCCCTATTTCATACATGCAATATATACAACAAAACAGAGCATAATCTAAATCCCCCTTGACTCTCTGTTAGACCAGTCAATGCAAGTAACTGCCTGATTACTCTTGATTTTATAAGGGCCCTTTGCAGACACTGCAATTCACAACCTACCTCACCATTTTGCTTGTTTGTTGACTCTGCAAATCATAATGCTGCAAATCTCCAAGCCTCAAAGACTTCCTCTTTAATACTGGAATGTCACAGATCCAGTTAAATGCCACCTCTCTGGCATACACTAGACCATTGTGAAGTGATCCAGTTGCTGAAACCCTGTGTGTTTTAGGACTTTGGCACCTGAAAGGAGCAGATTTTCAAGGTGCACATTTTTTATTTGGTACTCTCAACTGAGAGTTCAGACCATGCAGCCCCCTATCCATGGAACCAGTGCTGGCCCATGAGACTTACCTCCATAGCTTAAACACACCCTCACCCAGAACTCCACAAAACGAGAACATTCTGGGTTACATCTATAATGTGTGCATTCTTGAAGAGATAAATGTCTGATGTGCACACACTGCACACAATTCTGAACCACCACTGCTTTCTTTAATAGCGCAAGAAATGCTGATCTCCATTTCCCGGTCTCCATTTCCTCATCAATGCAGGGCACTCTTCTGGCTAAGACTAGCATTGCTTTTTTGCATTGCATGGTTTGGGCTCTGAAACATGGGGTCTTTGTACACCCAACTTGCCTCCTCTGATCTTGACGGATCCATCCCTATCTATATGTGTTTCTCTCTGTTGCCTTCATCTTTGTCCTGCTTGAAAGTTTTCCATTTTCTCCACTCCTTTAGACAAGGGAAGAGAAACCCAATGTACCAAGATACTTCAACCTGAATAGACAGATGGCTACTGAGTTTTGATGATATGTCTCTGCACCTGAATGTAATGGTGCATACATACAAACATTCATGATATAGAAATTTTTATAACTTCATATCAGAATTCATAAATTGTAGATAGGTTCCCCAAATCATCACACTGGTATTGAGCACTGTGTGATATGGGATGCTACACTAGCTAAATCCTTAGGTCTACTACAGTTCCTAAACAACAGTCTGAAAATATCAAAACCAAATGTATTAATTTGAGAGAAACACACCCACACTGCAAGTCTGGACAAGGAACATAAACATATAATATTATTATTAAAAAAGTTTTTTTAGCAACTAACGCTGCAAATACGTGGAATTTGAAACCTGACTTGAACATTTGCAAATTTTCATTTGTAAACATGAAACTTGCTCTTGAGCCACATTTATATTTACACAGCCCATTTATTAAACACATCCCAATTATTCAGGCTAGCTGTTTTATTAAAACTGACACCCAAGAATAAATTTTGCCATTCACTGTATCAAGCTAACAGTTGCTATTTATCCATACATATGTGGACTTAGTGTAGTGGAAACACAGTGAGTTAGTTCTAAAGAATTAAGGTGTATTTAGCAAGTGTGGTTCAGAGCATAAGGCATGGGAATGAGAGAAAACCCAAGTTCTATTGTTGACTAAGGATGTTAAGAAATG